GTGCGATGCAGTGGGCTGCAGGTTTTCTTGCCAGGATTGCCCCCGAAACCTCTGACGTAGCACAGTTCCAGGCAGCGCTGATGGCCACCTTCGGACAGGTGCAATCTTCCTACTCCGCCACCTCGCGTCTGTCAGCTTTGTCGCAGGGTACCCGCCCCCTCCAGGAATATTTGACGGACTTTCGGGGCCTGGCTGCTCAGCTCGCTTGGAATCAAGAAGCCCAAATTCATCAGTTCCGTGCTGGCCTTTCCGAGGAACTTAAGGATTGTCTAGCCCAATTCCCTTACCATACACCGACCCTGGAGAGTTTTGTTCTCTTGGCCACCGAGATCGATGTCCGTCTACAACAACAAAGGACTGAACATCTCATGCTCCGTTCGGCTGCCAGCCGCAACGCTCCCAGTTCCACTCTTGCCGCACCTCCCACGCCCTCTTTGTCCACTCTTACTCCTGAGGAACGCAAAGGAAGGCTGTCAGGGGTGCTGCCTCTATTGTGGTGCTTCCGACCACCTCCGAGTCTCCTGTCCGGTGCGACCCCTTAGTTCTGTCCGTCCGCCTCTAAAGGTCAGTATCCTCTCCCTCAACCCTTCTGCCTCTGGACTCTCCCTCCCTACCGCGCTCTCCTGGGGTGACTCTCACGAATCCCTGTTTGCCTTCGTTGATTCAGGTGCACCGGGAAACTTCTTAGATTCCGGACTCCCTGCCTCATTGAAGATTCCATTACTGCCCGTCTCCCCACCCATCTGCATCCAGTCCATCGATGGCTCCTCCCTCTCTCCGGGACTGGTGCAGTGGCAGACCATTCCCCTCTCCCTGCGTATTGGTGCCACCCACCTGGAACGTACTCAGCTTCTCCTCCTCCGTTCTCCTTCTCTCCCACTTAATCTCGGTTTCCCTTGGCTACAGTTACACAATCCCCGTATTTCCTGGTCCGACAAGGAACTCACTGCCTGGAGTGATCACTGCCTGACCCACTGGTGTCAGCTCCCCATGAAACCTCATGTTCTTCAGATCTCTCATGTCACCTCCCCACTTATTCCCCCCGAATATGCCGATCTTCACGTTGCTTTTAGCAAACGAAGAGCTCTTTCGCTTCCTCCTCATCGCCCTTACGATTGCGCTATTGATCTGGTACCCGGAGCCTTACCACCTAGAGGGCGTGTTTACCCCCTCTCCATGCAGGAAACCAAGGCACTGGATACCTACATTCAGGACGCCCTGCAGTCTGGTTTCATCCGCCCGTCCTCATCTCCTGCTTGCGCCAGTTTTTTTATTACCAAGAAGGATGGTTCTTTGCGGCCATGTGTTGATTACCGCGGTCTGAACGACATTACTGTTAAGAACCGTTATCCTCTGCCTCTCATTCCTGCTGCTCTGGAGTCTCTTCGTGGCACAAAGATTTTTTCCAAACTCGACCTGTGAGGTGCTTACAACCTTATCCGCATTCGAGAGGGGGACGAATGGAAGACGGCTTTTATCACCACTCACAGCCATTATGAATATCGTGTCATGCCTTTTGGTCTTGCCAACGCTCAGGCCGTCTTTCAGAATTTTAGGAACGACATCTTCAGGGACATCATTCACCAGTATGCGCTCGTCTATCTGGATGATATATTAATTTTTTCCAGTAGCCTTCAGGA